CAGCAAGAAAATCCGCCAATAAGCACAGGACCTACCAAGATAGAGGAGGAACTTTGTCACAGTACATTCATATTTATATCTAACAGAGGAGATCATTGCAGATCATTTGACTAAAGAAACAATCATTGCAAAAGGGATACCCTGATCTAAAGAGCTTTGCAAAAAAATTTCTCTGAAGCTATTGAAGAATTATCCTTTAATTTTGGATGTTTGTTGCTTATTAGCTGCCTACAATGTAATTCACACAGGAGTGCCTGACTAAATCATTACACTTTTGGCTTGTAAGATGCATGAAAACTGTTCTTACGTGTGACTTACAGGCTGTCCCCTTGACCTAGAACTCTTTTCCCTTCTCTCTCCAAGATGCTAACTTCTGCTCTTTTAGAATTATGCTTTAAAACTAGAGCTAGGCAAATATTTAAAATCTCTCAAGGAATAGTTTTATTTGAAACCTTTTTGAAGTTCATCAAATGATTCAATTAATAGTACTCAATCAGCTCTACTTCAACATTTATTTTCTCTTTAGCTTATGAGTTACTCTCTTAGTGTATTCTGGGATTCTGTGTATGCATGACACTATGTATTGTGAAGCATTTATAAACCAAATAATGTCTGCTAGACTACAAAATATATCCTATGCATCTAGGGGTGTATACAGATTATAAAAGTATGTGTATACATGTATCTATTCCACAGCTGTGTTTAATTATCTGACTAGCTCTAAAGTGTGTGTGTGTACGTATATTTACACAAGGATAGACGCTTGTAAATATGTAGCGTTGATAGCCATGTGATGAATTGCAGAGCCATACAAAAAATTAATTTATCACGCATTGTTCACCACCTCACCCAGCATTCTGCCCATCTATCCATTTTCCCCAGTACTCATTAAATAAATGATGCCAGTGCCCTGAGTAACTTCCAACAGCTTCATTTGGGGAAAAAAATCCATTAGCTAGAGACGTTTCCTTCTTTTCACCAAATGTGGAATTTCTCCTCCAAGAATACTGTGGACAGAGGCTCAGGACAAGCAGGTGTCAGTCCTGCAACAGCGACAGTTTTTCTATACATAAATTGTCACAACTTTAAAATCTGTTATTTTATGTCCCCGAAGGGCTAGAAGTAAGAGGCTTCTAGATAAGTCATTATAGGGTGGGTATTGGAAACATTAACTAAATGTATTTTGAGCACATGTTGTTTGTTTCTTCACTTGCGCTTTCTTCTGCATGCAGCATACTCTGTGGCTGGAAAGCTTGAATTAGAGCTGTTCAAAGTGTGGACAAAAATAGATCTTATAATCGAATGTAAATGTACATTTTAGAGTATAGGCATCTCTGCACGTTGACTGTTTTATTTGAGGTTTGTATAGCATTTACCAGGCACAGTGGATCCATTCGTAGTTGAGGCCTCTGGATGTTGATGCAACATTAAATGTTTAATAATAATAATTTAATTTCTCCTTTAGGAATGGGTAGTATGCCAAATCTGTCCATCCCAACATCTGTGCCTACAATTGCACCTTTAGCTCCCATGTCATCATTGACCTCAGTGACTTCGATTCCTCCCTTGGTTATCTCTACTCCCCTGATACCTTCTATCAGTACATCATCATTGCCAAATGGAACATCCAGTCTCCTTCAGCCTTTACCTATGTCTTTCTCTTCAAGTAAGTACAACACAGTAAGATACTCAATTTTGAATACACTAATCTAATTATTAGTGCAGATTATTAACTTGTATCCATTTATTTCTTTTTTTGTTTCAGCATTGCCTCATCCTGCTTCTTTCAGTCCCATGGCAGGAGGATTTGGTGGTACTAATATACAGAAGGCACAGTCTCTGATCGATTTAGGATCTAGTAGGTATGAAACTTAAGACTTAAAAATGTCATGTCTTAGACTTTAATAACAAATGCCTTTTAAAAAATTACAATATAACAGTTCATATTTATCAGCAGAAAAATAAGGAGATGTGTGAAAACAGCATATATAGACACGATATTTCTGAACATTGATACATACCTAGGAGATAACTATGACGAGATTAATTTGTGTTTGGATATGAGCAGTTGAATAACATTGTCAGTAAATGTAACAAACATGCTCAAAGTGGGAGGAGGGTTCAAATGTGAAAAGGCGCTGTCAGAAAGAATGGAATGAAGCAGTGTTAAATAAACAGAGGCAAAACATACAGTCCAAGAATTAGGTGTTATGGAAGCTATGTCAATATTGCAGCATGTTCTTTTCTGAGGAAGTTATGCATACAAAAGTTGTCTAAAAGATTATCTATTGCAAACATTTATCTCTGAGGTCATTTTGCAAGTAATGGAGATCATAAATCTTTGTGATCACCTTCCTTATATGTTGTGCCAAAAGTGTTTAAAATAAAAGTTTGGTCTCTTTGGCTGTGTCTATATTATCTTTTCCCCCCTAGAGTTCGTCACTATTGCTACAGCCAGATAGCTCTACTGTAGTACTGCTGTAGACAGGGCTCCAGGCATCTAATGATATTTTAATCATGATGTTGTCTAACATTCAGAGCACGTTTATGCAATGTAGTGTTTGAAAGGTTTAGTATAAATCAGCACTCTCTCTCTTGCTACCTTCAATGACTGAACCAGTAGTAGTAACAGCAGTGCAAAATTTTAGGGGGAAAAGGTATAGTTTAGGTTACCCTTTTTGGTTTAAGGTATTGGCAGCAAGGAGTGACTTTAGAAGCTGCAGATGTTATGTTTTGGGGATGAGTCAGTTCATTGGTTGAATTTTTCATACATTCATGGTTTCATTTTTTGATTTAATTCATGTCCTTACTTAAATTTGCTACTCAGTCATTGTCCTTAGTCCTCAGAGTCCTGCTGTAGGCTTTTACAGGTCTTGGGATGTGTTCCTGCTGCCTTCCATAACTACTGGATTTTTATTAATATGTCTTGATTTTTCCCCCCTACTTTTCTTAAATACTACTCCGTACAAATTCTTCAACATGTTGTTTGTAGACACATTACTTGAATGAAAAGAGTGTTTTTCAGTATGTTAAAGTTTTCATTTCAATGCTCTAAATAAACATTGTGTGCTGCGTGTAATACGCGTGTAATTCCTCTTTTTTAGTTGCATGGTAGAGATGAAAAACAGGGTTTTAAAATTCTATAATGTTTCTGTTACGATAGAGAGCAGAGACAGGATTGGGGCCTCATTGTGCTGAGTGCTACACAAACCAATAAGAGGAGATAGCCCCTGTTCCAGGGAGCATACCATCTAAAGCTTGTTTATTAAACAATGGAATTTAGAATAATGTATTTTTGTCTTTTTTAACATTTATATTGCAGTTCAAATTCTTCCTCCACCACTTCACTAACTGGGAATTCACCTAAGACTGGATCCTCAGACTGGGCAGTTCCTCAGGCCTCCAGATTAAAATACAGGCAGAAATTTAATAGCCTTGATAAAAGCATGAGTGGATACCTATCAGGTTAGTATGGCATTTAGACTGGGGAAAAAAAACAGTTTTCTAATTAATAGAACCTAAAAGATTAATGGTGAAATCCTTTGAAGTTAATCTGAATTTTACAACTGACTTCAATGGAGCCTGGATTTCATCCTAAGTAACCATACATTTTTCTAATCTTTTGGTCTGAATCTTACCGAGACACACAACTGGCTTATAAAAGTGTCACTATATGGGATAACTTGTTGTTTAGCTTTTATGTGTGTGTTAAATTTAAAGAATTCCTATATGTGCTACACAAGACAATCTCACTTTACTAATCAGTAAACAAAAGTTTGGGTATGTCCTGCAGGTCTGCACTAAATTTGAACTTTGCTGGTTTCAAAGTTTGTGCTTCAGATTCTCCTAACCAGCTGGCCTTATATTTACTCTGCTCTGTTGTTTTGGGGGTTATTTTTCAAAACTCCCCCAGTCAACTCAAACTTTTTTTTAACAACATTTCAAGTGACACCAATACCATCAAATGTAGTACTGTAAACCTAATCTTGTTGTTGAATGCAATTTCATACAATGAGCCAAGAGCAAATGTTTAAAGGGCAGAATTATGTTAACATCTCCTTGACCTGAAAGGCTGTTTTTTGTTGTTTTTTTGGGGGGGTGGGTAGGTAAGTATCTGTTGGGGGATGAATAAATAATACTTTTATTTTAGAGTTTTAGCAGTCCTCCCTAAAAGTCTATCAGACATGCTATAGCCTATATATTAAGCACTCTTGGGATTTAGATGCTTCTAACCCCTTTAAACTCCTTTAATGGTACAGAAAAGATGAGACCTGTCATTTAACCAAAAACTCTTCTGTGTAGCAGTTTTCAGTCTGATTCAATTTTTGCTTCACCTTGCATCTGTGCTTCTGTTAATCAAGAATGAAAGCTATGCTGCAATCTTTGTTACGAAGATTCTTCCTTATAACAAAGAAGAAAATGGGCTGAAACTGTTGGCAACAATGTACTGATTATCTTGCTCATTGCATTGAGTAGAGCTCAGCCTGTGTACCTTTCGCTGAGAAACAAGGTGGGTGAGATAATCTCTTCTATTGGATCAATTTCTTTTGGTGAAAGAGACAAGCTTTTGAGCTCCACAGATCACCAACAGAAGTTGGTCCAATAAAGGATATTACCTTATGCACCTTTTCTCTCATATATCCCGGACCAGCATGTCTACAACGCTACCTTTTGCTGATTCATTCTGTCATATTAAAAGGAGAGGGTGTATAGATCAATGCTAGAATAAATTTATATTGGATATGAAAGCAAAAGATATTTTAGAATTCATAGAACATTCAATAAAAAAGTATATTGGAGTCACAGAGATATTCATAAGGGAACAAAAAAGCTGAGAAGGGTCAGGCTGGGGGCAGAATATGACTAAACAGCTAGGTATAGGACTGTATTGGGGGGGGGGAGAGGAGAATCTTTTAAAAAATCCCATAATGCACCTGAAACCCAGTTGATGCTAATAAAGTATGCAATACAAACTTTGGAAGGCAAATATAAGTTAGAGAATGAGGGCTAAGAAGAAATTTGAAGGCGAAAAAGTTCCCAAATGAGGACATTAATTTTTAAAAAATAGTTATTTAGAGTAAGAAAAGACACATGAAACAAGAAACCTGTGGGTGTGTTTAACAGACCCCTAGGATGTCAAGGGCAAGAACGGAGAATGAGATTGCAGAGAAACTAAATCTTAGGCCTTGCCTACACTACAGAGTTTTGTCGACAAAAGTTATGTCGCTTTAATTAAACCACTGTTGCATGTCCACACTAGCCCCTTGGGTCAGCAGAGCTCATCCACACTAGCAGCTCTTGTATCGACACAGAGAACAGTGCACTGTGGGTAGCTATCCCACTGTGCAACTGGCCGCAGGGTGCTTTGTGAAGGATTTGCAGTGCCTCATGGGGCAGGTACAGCATCACATGATGCAGGTTTCTCAATCCTATCATTCCATGGGCATCCTACTAGATTGCCAGCTGCTTTTCAACTGAAGTGTATGTGCGGGGAGAGTGTGTGACAGGGAGTATGTGGGAAGGGGCCGGGGGAGAGACAGAAACACTGTGTGTGTTGGGGAAGCATGTCTCTTTAAATTCACACATGCAGTCTCTTTAAGTTCAGACAGCAGCCTGAGCAACTAATCCTGGGGGAGGGGAACACCCCCACCCCTGGCTCTGCACAGCACAGCAGCCTCTCCCCTACAGCAGGAGCCTGCTCTGCCTACCTGCTGATTCCACATTAATGGTTCCGTGATTCCCTCCAAGTTCTCCCACTGCCTCCTCAGCTACTGGGAGCAGCATCCTCAGCAGCTCTGTTAGCTCTCCACACTGAGGAACGTCAAAGCTTTCGAGAGCTTTAAAAGGGGATGGGCGCATGCCTAGAGGGCAGCTGAGTTCAAAACAGTGAGCAGAGCAGTCACGGTTAGGGTGACCAGATGTCCCGATTTTATAGGGCCAGTCCCAATTTTGGGGTCTTTTTCTTATATAGACTCCTATTACCCCCCACCCCCGTCCCAATTTTTCACATTTGCTGTCTGGTCGCCCTTGTCACAGTGGGCATTGTGGGATACTGGGGGAGGCCAGTTATGTCAACATAACGAACGGCAGTATCTACATTGATGCTTTGTCACTCACTTTTCCTCAAAAACCTTCATTCCTCTCAAGGTGGTTTTATTTTGTCACCAAAAGTAGCTTTGTAGTGTGTACACCTTTATTGTTTTAAGCAACAAAGAGTCCTGTGGCACCTTATAGGCTAACAGACGTATTGGAGCATAAGCTTTTGTGGGTAAATACCCACTTCGTCAGACGCATGTGGTGGAAATTTCCAGAGGCAGGTATAAATATGCAGGCCAGAATCAGTCTGGCGATAACGAGGTCAGTTCAATCAGGGAGGATGAGGCCCCCCTTCTAGTAGTTGAGGTGTGAAAACCAAGGGAGGAGAAACTGCTTTTGTAGTTGGCTAGCCATTCACAGTCTTTGTTTAATCCTGAGCTGATGGTGTCAAAGTTGCAAATGAACTGAAGTTCGGCAGTTTCTCTTTGGAGTCTGGTCCTGAAGTTTTTTTGCTGCAGGATGGCTACCTTTAAATCTGCTACTGTGTGTCCAGGGAGGTTGAAGTGTTCTCCTACAGGTTTTTGTATATTGCAATTCCTAATATCTGAGGATTAATGGACCCAAGGCAGATATTCCACCACATGCGTCTGCCGAAGTGGGTGTTCACCCACCCACCCACGAAAGCTTATGCTCCAATACGTCTGTTAGTCTATAAGGTGCCACAGGACTCTTGGTTGCTTTTTACAGATCCAGACTAACACAGCTACCCCTCTACTTCATTGTTTTGTTAGCAAAAGCTGCCTTTTGCTGACAGAACTGTGTAGAGTAGACAAGGCCTTAGTCATCACACTGGATTATGGAGAAACAAGCAGTTCATATTTCCATAGTGCCTTTAGGGTTGCCAACCCTCCAGGATTATGTCATGTGATGAAATTTCCAAGAATACATCCAACCAAAATTGGCAACCCTAAGTGCCTTGCTTTCATTACCTGAGCAATATCGAAGAGGGAGAAGGGTCCTAAAAAGGAATCAAACGGCTCAAGAAACTTACATCGGCTTCAGCAAGACTGTTTGGGTGTAACGGTCAGCCTGCATTGAACGCAGGTTTATGACCTAAATTCCCTCTAAGCTGTGCAGCAGGCTATAAAGGGCTTGGCAGCTACAGAGGCCTGGATAGAAGAGAGGTAGGGGGTGGACGGGGACTGGGGATGGGAGCAAGTTGGGGCGTGCAGGGCTGCTGCGGGCCTCTCCCCTAGCCCTGGAGCTCCAGGTGCTGGCATGGGGGGGAGCCCTGCCCCAGAGCGACATGCTGCCGACTGGGACGGGGGGCCCTCTCCACCGGAGCTCCGTGCTGATGACGGGGAGAGGAGGGCCCCTCCCCCGGAGCTTGCTGCTGCCAGTGTGGAGAGGGCTTGGGGGAG